GGACTTGTAAAAACCCTCTAATTATGTGATTGGTTTCCCTGGTAACCAGCCCCCATCTTTAGGGACTTTCCAGAAATCACCTCATGAACATAAACTCAGGTGTGGTTGAAAGGGTTTCTTATGACTATCAAGAATCTTTATTGCTCTTATTTAGGAAATTCCAAAGGGTTTAGGAGCTCTGTGCCAGGAAATGTATGCGTGTTATGATGTAAACGCTTTTCTTGTGGGTGTGGTCGAAATTTGAAAGCCACTGCACTAAAACACCACTAATCTGTCTAAACCTTAGCAAAACCTTAGTATAAGGCATACCTCATTTTATCGTGCTTCACAAATGTTCCATTTTTTTTTTTTTTTTTTTTACAAATTGAAGGCATGATCCTCCACCAGCAAAAATATTACTACTTACTTTATTTTGATTCTAACCTTATTGCCATAGTCTGGAACAGTACCCACAACATCTCCAAGGTATGCCTGTAGTTAACAACCTCACTGCAGGTTTTTATTAACGTTGTCCTCAGATCTTCTGTGGATCCTTCCCATCACATCTCAGTCGTACTCAGTGTTGTTCTCCATCAAATGGTGGCAGAGGACTCTTCCTCTACCCTGAGATCAGCTGTCTGAGGTGTAGCCACACGTCGCAACCAAGTCCATGCCCAGGCATTTCGGGAAGCTCATGAAGACATTCCATGCATGACAAAGTGTATATATTAGAGGGATGTCATCATTTAGTGTAAAAGATAACAAAGTCTCTATCTACACCTTGAGTCACTGTTATTTTTCCATCACTAAGTTGTCATGAAATAAGAGACCCTACAACCCACCACACTTTCAAGGATCAATAGAATTGGAAAGAGCACAATTCATTTTAACAACAGCAGCAGTTTCACAGCGAGAGGACGTTTCATTAATAGCAGCGGTTACTCTATATGAAGGTCCTGGATTCATGTTAAGGGCCTATTCAACGATGAATAAGGCCGGGGCTCAAAGTCCAGCAGGCATTTCAGGAAGAACTAGAAAAGGATGCAGTAGAACATTAACTGCCATGGTAATTAATTCAACATCATCTAGAAAATGTGAACAAAGAGCTGTGTTGGATGGTGTGGTGAAAGTAACTACATTGGTTTGAATCCAGGGATTGGCATTTACTTCTATATATTAACCGAAATGAAAAATATATCCCAGTCTCTGGTCAACTATATGTAATAGAGGAAATGACAAATTTAGATTCTTATTGAAATGATATCCTATTTTAAGAGAAAAATATATATAAACTTGGAATATAAGATCCCCGTTATATTTTAGAGCTGAATTAGCAGAATGAGTGTCGCAAATACTACTTTACTTGTTAGCTTGCTTTCAGGATGTGATACCAGATTCAAGAAGACATCTATGAAAAAGATGGAAGACCCGCGATTTTCTTTCATCTACTGGACATTTTTTGATTGCTGCCCCTGTGGTTGGCATTGTGAATACTAAGGGAACCTTAACTTTGCTGCTAATCCAGGGAGAGGACTATCTTCTTACAGTCAATAGATTGGGAAGCATCTCATTCCCACCTGTTTTGCAAGACTCCCTATCATTTTCTTAGTCTGGGGAAAGCTCATTCTTCAACTTCCAGCTCTAGTTTACCGGGAATGTTTATGTCTATTCATTAAATTTTCCTGAATGATTCTTTTGCAAGAGAGCCCTTTCCAAATCTGTCCTTTCTTTTATAGAATGTAAAATAATTCATTTAAACAGAACCTGGCAGGCAGAAGAACTCAAATGATAGCTAATTATCTATTTGCTCATTATTTGTTAACACTTTTATGATAGGCTCATTGCTACCAATGTTATAACAATTCACTTCCTTGTTAAAATTATATTTTCTTGACATCAAACTGAGCAGGAGTCTTGCCTCTTTTAGAGAATTAAATGCCTAGTATTGTTCTGAAAAAGAGCCACAGCCTTACTGAGGTAGACAGTGCAGAGGGGCCGTGGCAGGATGTTCAGTGACCTTGCCCAAGGGCTCAGCTGGCATGTTGTGTGGCTTTGAACCAACTGGCTTCGGGCCTGCACTGGTGGCCACATTGCACATCCTAAGGAACCAGCTGCTTTAGGAGGTGGAGTGCTAGCACAGACAGGTGATACTGAGCCTGTGAAAGTGGACACCAGACTTATGTCATCTCTGCCTCTAGCTCTTTCTGGCCTCAGGCAGGTTGCAACTTCTCCAGACTTTGATTTCTTACCCAGAAAGAGAAGAAAAGGAATGAAGATATTTTGTCAGATGATCTCTTTATCTTTTAGCTCAGACTCTGAACCGTTTTTTGTGAATCATCAGGAAAGAGGGAGGAGAACAATGTTAATAGCCCATCATTAAGGAAAAGGAATACATGCTTTTCAGGATGAGTTTTCGATGTTCCTAAAGGAATCGTGAAGGGCCAACAGTAACAGATCCACAGAATGGTTGGGGAAGATCCAAGAAAGAAAAAGATGAGAAACTGGATATGATGTTCATCTGGAGAAGTAAAAGCAAAATCAATACCAAACTAAGAAATTGGGGAAAAGAAAGATGTAGACTTGGGGCTCCCCCACAAATAACGTAGAGTATCTTACCAAAATTTCTTTCACTTCAGAATGAAGAAATACTTGAATGCAGTCATGATGGGGAGCAGGAGCAGCCTGACAGTCCTGAAAATCTTTCCCCCAGCAGGTAAGATTGCAGATCCCTTTAAAGAAATCATTTTAACCCCTTGGGGTAGGGGGGCAGGGTAGACTATCCTCTGTTTTAAATCATCACTTATCTTTCCCAGATAAAATCACATTCTATATACTAATCCTCATTTATCTACCTGAGAACAAAACCCATGGATCTCATAAAAGCAACAAGCAAGAACTGAAAATGACATCTCATAAACCACATTTCCAGGGATACTTAGTGTTTAAAAAAATGAATTATCAAGAAAATAGTAAATGCAAACTATTGTTGCTATTAACTGAATTATTGATTTAAACCTACTTAAAGGCAATAGGTCCCCAAAAGAAACAATTTATACAAACTTAATGCTATTTTTGGCATACCGAAAGGTGTTGGCAATTCATGTGAATGCTCAGCAGTTCAGTGGAGAAGACCAAAAGCAGAAGGGGAAATTCATTTTTAAAAAAATCCTCTCTCTATTTAGAATCCCCATCATTACCTCTGTTCTAGCACTCATCACATTGTTTATACTCACACCATTTGACTTACCGACTTGTGAGTTGTTTTTATTCCCAGGGTCTGTCATGTTTAGCTCTTAACATGCCTCTAAAAAAGTGCCTGTAGAATGAATGAACAAACATCTTTAGGAACGTACTTTTTGATTAAAGTCAGTATTAATTTAATTAGACTACTTGATATTCTTTCACTTTAAGGTGCACTAGAGGAAACAGGTAGGCTCTTACTGATGGAAATGTATCTTTGAGTCTAAGTAAATGGCTGAATTCAGCATATCTGAAAGTGCGTTTAGTTCTCTTGTTTTTCTCAAGTGATGGTATATCTTTTGGGACTTTTCTAACTATTACTACAACCTACCTACTTTTATCATTATAATTTTACTTTTAGAATTATAAATCTTATCTTTATAAAAGTATTAGTTAAATCAGCCCTTTAATTGAACTATTAATTTAGTAAATGAATTTGACTAATTAAATAGGTCCAATTAAGTGAGTTGTATTAATTTACAGTAGACCATTAAATCATACTTCTAATGAGAACTACAAAGGAAAAGTTACAGCATTTAGTGAAACAAAAATACCTTTGATTTTTGCAAAAGAACTTCGAGAAAAGGCAAAAACAGCTAGTGGATTAAACATAAGACAGAATTTATAAGCCTGTTTTTACCACCAGCTTTGAATACCTTAAAATCACTAATCTTTGCTACAACAGTTTATATTTTCTGATTCACTTTTGATTTTATACATTTGCATATTTATGCATAACTAATACAAATTTGTTGGGGCTGAAGTTGATATGTTTGGTATATGGTAAATACTCAGATTTCATCAAATAAATTATAAACTTTTAAATAGTATAGGTAAAATGTTATGTCAGATAATGTCCATTAGGGTTTTAGTAATTAATCTTCTTTTCATATCTGGATGGCTTGCCAAAATGATATTACTTTATTATATTTGAAAATAATGATTAAAAAAAATAATGATTTTTGAGCACTGTGCAGTCCCTACCTTCAGTTTTAGTTGGGAAAAAAACACATGAAACAATTAGTAGGTAATAGTAATATATGTGGTAAGTGTACATTTACAAGTATACTAGAAGCCCTTTGCAAGAAGATTCACACAATAAGCCTCCCTTCCCTGACTGTTGGCACTGGTTTTCCTCCAGCACCCAGGACCTAGGAATTTGGACCGGCCACAGGGGAGAAGCCAAACCTCTTCAGTCTTCAGTCTTCGCTCTGTGCCTGCACATGCAAATTAACCGCCATCTTTGCTGAGTTAATTTGCATAGTCACTCTGACTGGCGGATAGGTGTAGTAGAGTGACACCAATTTGCATGTTTCTCTTTTATTAGTGTAGATATTTGAGGGGGAGGTTAGGACATGTTTTATAGAACAGTTAACTTCGAGTTGCCAAGATTTCAGTAGCTACAGGAGAAACAGTGTTTTTGGCAAAGGAAATGAACTTATCCATGTATGAGATTGAATGAGATTTGTGATGGATAAGAGTGGCAATGGAAAAAATAAAGCTATAGGGAATGAAGAAGGAAAGGAACATTACATAAGGCCTAGGGGAGCAGGTAGAAGAGACTAGACTTGATGCTGGAGGCAGTAAGGAGTCTTGGAGGTCTGGAGCAGAGGATTACCGGAGGGAAAGCTGTGGCTGAAGCTTGTTTCACTGCACCATGTGGTGACTGCAGGGAAAAAGCCAGTGAGCACTTATCCTTTCTGATTGTTACAGCGGAATGGATCACCGTGCATATCAAGACTTCTCTGGTCTGATTCTCATTGCAGCTATGGAGTTCAATTGAAGTCCCACATATAGGTCAAGTTCATTAATTCTTCCAAGTGATCATCATTTGAGTCCAGAGTACAAACACGTCAACCATGCCTTGCAAGTAAAAAGTTCTACTACAACCAAATAATTCAGATAACTTTCAAGTTTTAAAAAAATATATGTAGAATGACTCACAGCATATTCTAAGAAGTGAGCAGGAATCGGGTGAAAAGCAGATGAAAACATACTATGTATAAATATGCTGAAGCACCAAACACTCCAAGAGGAACCTGAGAACATTCCTTTCATTACAAGACCAGGGCTAAATTTTAATCTACTTTGAGGTGGCTAAGGATCCTATATAATAAAAGCCTAATATGCTAAGTGTCCGGTCATCCATTCAACCAATCAAAGCGTAATATGCTAATGATATGCTAAGGCTGCTCAACCACTGGCTATGACATGCCCTGACCACTAGGGGGCAGACACTCTGATCAGTAGGTTAGCTTGCTGCTAGGGTCGGCCAATAGGGACTGAGCAAGATGGGCCAGACACACCTGGAGCCCTCCCATGGTCCTTCCCCGGCTGGCCAACCTTCCGCATCCCTCCCTAGCCTGGATTGTGCACTGGTGGGGTCCCTCAGTCTGGCCTGCACCCTCACACAATCCGGGCTGAGGGACTCCCCTCCCCACCCCCAAGTGCACAAATTTCGTGCACCAGGCCTCTAGTATCAAATAAAAGGAAAATATGACCATTTCAAATGGTGTCTTAAGACACTATGGCTACATGTTACTTTAGCCCATCGTAAACAATCTGGAATTCCCTCCCTCAGACATTCCAACCTCAGTCATTTAACAAACAAAAGGAGCATTTTGGGGACTCCAGTGTGCAGAAGACACATCTCTCCTAGGCACAGCAGCAAGCTGGAGCAGGACTGTGTGCCATAGGCCCCTCTGACATTAAAAAGAACAAGCCGATTAGATAGAAACAAATGGTGTTCACACAGGAGTTTAAAAACCCTTGTGAAAATACACATCTGCTGACAATTTTCAAGTTGTTTATTGTAAATCACAGATTTATTTATTTTTTTAAAAAAACACTAATTATTTTAACATATAAGCAACATTCAAATAATATAAATATTTAACATTTTGGTATCAAATTAATAATATGAAAGAAAAAAAGATGCGAACCAACCAAGAGGTAAAACGTTTTTAGCAATAACACTGTGTACAACCGTCTTCTACCCAAGTGACCGTCCGGGCTGATTGTTTATTTTCCCTTCGTTTATGAGTTTTCAGACAGCCCTGCATTGGAGCACCAAAGTTGTACCTTCCTTTTTAAAAGGCGGGAATCCTTATATTGTATTTACAAATAGTCTTCTCAGTACTTTAAGTCTGATGAAAGAATTTTCTGGCAACTTCCTTCTTATTCAAAAAGGAAGGGCCTTCCTATTTCCTGCAAATTTAAATCTGTTCTATTCTCAGCAAAAAGGAAAAAGATGAACACAGTGGAGGAGAGCTCTTTCACAAATAAATAACTGTTTCACAGAAGTATCGCTGTAAACAAACGAGATCGTTTCAGTGGCCAGAGAGACGCTGATATTTTCAAGCAATGAAAAATTTAGACAGTTACAAGTATAGCTACACAGGGTGTGTATGGCCAAAAGGCAAGCTGTTATATAAAGACGCAACTAATGAAAATTAATGACACATCTGCTTTATCAAACTGTGCTTTTATTCTCCCCAGTTTTTCAAATTGGTCACAAATTTCAAGCTGTCATCTAAAAACCCCGAATCTACTCTGAAGGGAACTATAAACTACAATGGTTGACACTGTAGTTTTGACCTTAGTTAAAAATTCTGAATTATCTCAGCAATCAACATAAACAAGCCTCAATGTTCAAAATAGAGAAAAAGATTTCTGTAAACATTAAAAAGCTACCTGCAAAAAATAATTGTATAAGCCATCATCTAGTTGTGTTTACTGAGGATTCTTTTTTTAGTTTTCTTTTGTTTCCCATGTTTCAGACATCATCTAAGTACACGGAAGACTCTTCGTTTTCCCTAACAAGCACCTCTGCAGACAGAGGTTCTATAATCAGTACAACTACTTTCGCTGAAGTCGCTATTTTGGCTTTCAGATGATCCCCCTAATAATAGGCATCACCCCGTTCTTTCTGCAGTGAGGGGAAGCTGTTAGCACCATGGCCACCTTTCTACCCTGCTTTGTAAAAGAAATGAAACTCCCTCTGTTCTACCTCAGCACATCTCCTTGATTATAAGGGACATATGGCTTTACAAAGGCTTTCAACCTCATTCTGAGAATTTTCATTCTGACTTCAAGTTTGAAATACTTAAAAGTCAAAGATACGTCTAATGGTTGTTTTGATGAGATCGATTTTTTGAAGATACTGTAGTTTTGATGTGACGTTTAATACTCTCAATTTTAAAATCTGAAACTGGAACAAAATATTGTGGTTTAAGAGACATGTTGGGGAGGAGTAGGCTAATTTTAGTAACCATTATAATAATTTAGATATTAAGAATTTTATTTTATAGTTTATAGAGAAAACAAGTTTTTAATGTTCTACCTTTCCTTTTGAAGTCTTCATTATATTAGGCCTCTATGCAAACTACATTCAAATAACTACCTTAAAAACAGACCGATATTGAATATTTAAGAACCAGTTAAAAAATTCATTGAATTAAAATTCATATCAGC